CAATACAAAATTTAGGTTGATTCCTTTTGAAAACTGAAGGCTATATATATATATATATATATATATATATATGAAAATGTTCAAATTGATGTCACATGGCAACAGCACTGGACAGTGGAACTGCAGTTATAAAAAGTAAACAATGGGAATAAATGAACATTGGCACACTGGACACAGCCACTATTTTACAACTTGATTGTTTGATTTTGTTTTGTAATCAAGCCTACATTACAAAACTGCCAAATGTTCTAAACTGTTCAGTGTAATGCATTGGTTTACTCACATTGGGCCTCGTTCACCAATTGTTGTTAAGAAGAAATTTCTTCTTAAAACCCACTTATGCAGTTTTCACAATGATTCTGACCTTCACCAATGTTTTGTTATTTGGGATTTGATCTTAGGTAAGAACAGAATCTGCACACTCAAGAGCACAGCAGGTGAACAATTCTGTGGTTTAAGAACACATCATGAATCTGATGTAGACATTTTCTGAGGACCTTTCTTAAGAACAAATTTAATAAAAAACTTTGGAAGATATTGGAGAACAAGGACCATTATCCATTGTCACATGCTATTGTCATATGGCAAAAAAATGCAACGTATCCCCCCACCAAAATATCTTTTATCAAAAATGCTTTCAGATATATTAAATATTGTGCTGTTTTGGATAATCATGATCTTTTTTCATGAGTATTTCATGATTTTCACATTTCTTTAGCTATTTCATCAGAAAGAGCCCTCAAAGATGTCACAGTTTAGTTGTTTTTCTAAGGTTGATGGGTAATAATTGGAATACATTGGCATAGGAATGCCAGAAGGTACTAAGCTTTTCTGAAGTCAGATGTAATGTTAACATAGCAAAATATTATGTAAATTACTTAAAGGATATCAAGTGAACTGACAGTGGCCTGCAAACACAAGGCCTGGGAAAGTGGATGACACTGGCTCCCTGAGAGACTGTGTCCTCTCTGAAACATGCCCTTGGGATGTCATTTAGCTCTGATAAACATGTTTGTTACACCCCACAAGTCCAGTTTAAAGCCCATCAAAGCACTTTCAGTCATTTGTCCTGGGGGACTGTCCCTTAGTGAGTGAGGGGAGCAGGGGACAGGAATCAGTTCTTCATGTGTTTTGGGAGCATGGCTCATACACTTGTGTCCCAGTGGTCATGCAGTCAAGTGAACCTCACTGTTTTTCTTGAGTTGTGTCATGCTGACTTCAAAAACAAAATGCACATTTTACTTCAAATACATACATAGAATGAAATAGCATTTAATATTTAGTATTAGTATTCATTACTTATTACTATTTCTATATATTGTAAACAGTTAAAAAATGTAATATTCTTTCTTTAAACAAAACAACAACAGAGGAAAAACACATGTCATTTCTCACTAAACAACAGGTCATTAGTCCACTAAGCTTAATTATTCCACTGAGTCCAAATGTTCTTTAACTTCAATACACCTTAATTACAGCACAAATCCTTAGTGGCCAGAACAAGGACACAAGGCTTAGCTTGATGAAGCCAGAGGGAAATATTTGTAACGTAAACTGCCCATTAGTTTGTAATGGGAAACATTAGTTAGAATTACACACCTCAATGAAGACAAACTGATAATTGCTTGTCATTCATTTTTGTGATCATTTTTGATTGATTTGTTTACATATAGATGACAATGATTGAGATTACTCAAAAAATAATACAAATTTTATAGATGGACAGTAATCACATCCTTTTAGTGCATACAGTGTGAATGACTGTCAAGTCCTGATGGCTTGCTGTATTTGTGCTTTTGTAACATGCTTTTTATTTGTTTCCAATTTCTTGTTCTCTCATCAAAATATCAGATTTCTCTGATTTGATCTGAAATTCAATAGGTCCTGTGAAAAACACAAACAGCGCTTGCTTTGTACTACCTTATGTAGATGGATTTCCAAATTCTTTATGCCAAATCTTCCACTATAGCTGGGTAGAGAGGCCTAACACCATACTCAAGCAAAACTGTCTTTCATCTGTGAATTAATGATTTGAGTAAAAGTAGTCAAAGTACCTTTCTAATAAACATGAACAGAGGTACAGCAGTAGCAGGTCAAAAACTACTTCAATGCTAAATTACTTAAAGAACTGCAGTAAAACTTCTTAGTACATTTAGCACCAGAATAGGAATTAATGTATCTTGGGCTCTAGTGTGAAGATGTACGTTGGGCCACTGTATGTTGGGCTCTACAGTGAAATTATACAGTTTAAAAATAGAGAAGTGGAACTAAACACAAAGCAGAACAGGTGCTGTCAGCAACATAACATAATGAAATAAAACACACAAAGTAATTAGTAACAAATATAAATGACTAAAATATAATTTTATAAAACATAAATATGCTTGATTAGATGTATATTGAATTAGAAATTGAAAATACTTTTTTCATGATTTGAAAGTAAAAATTAATCTAAATTTTACTCAAGTATGAATATAGAATTCAAGACATAAAATTACTAAAGACATTTTTCACAGTGATGTGAATATGTTGTAGAGCTACAGTTAAGATATACTGATTTAATATACTGTCTTAAACACCCTTGAAAGTGCTTGTGACAATGGTGCTTTTGAATTAATTTAGCATTTTGAATTAAAATAGATCCTTACACAGTGAAACTTCCAAGCCACATGGTTCTGTTATTGCCCCAATGTGGGAATTGTACTAATTAACTGCTTTTCAAAATTGTGCAGCAAAAAAATCATACTAGTCAAAGTCCCCAGCTTGTATCAATTAAAATAAGAGATAATTGACATAAATCACAAACCTATGACAAGCAGGAAAAGATGAATGGTTCCAACGTTATCACATTAATAGCTTGCTAATGCCAAATATTAACTGCAACAAATAAAAAATTGTTTTTTTTCATTTTTCTGTTTCGACCCTTTGAACCAGCTGTAGTTCCAGCCTGAAGCCCAGTGGCCCACATGCTTTTGCTATGGCTCTGAGACTGAGCCCTCTCATTCTATTAAAGCTTTTAGATGGCAAGAATTTCCACTGACGGCTCTCTTAATAAAACCAATGTTATTTCCAGTTACTGCTAAGGCAATATCAATAACTCATCAGATGATGCTGGACAGGGCTTTGGAAGAACTATGGATAAATCAAAGATCAGCAAACTAACAAAAGCAATAGCAAAATGAACAGCTATAGTCCACCCTGAACAAGACGTAAGATAACGGTATGACAGCATGAGGCTACAATCTTGAAGGAGTTGGATCATATAGCCACTTCTGTTCTCACTGGACATTGGTGATGAAAACTGTAAACTGTGTTTACCTTGTTTCATGTTTACCCTGCATTCACGTGATTTGCATGTTCTAGGTCCCTACATTCACATGATACAAACGCTGTCATTAAAGCTACTGCTATTCCATCCTAGTTCCAGTTAGCAATGTTCTTGTTCAGATTCTGTGTAGAGCTTTAGATTTGCTATTGGTCTAGACTGAGTTAGTCCACTACATGGATGAACCAGTGCTATACATGGACACACCCCCTAACAGGCCAGGCTTAGTATGTAGCACAACTACATAAGACTTTGTATATAATAAGCTTGGGATTTTAAGGGGTTAAAGTGAGTATGTTGAATTGAATGAATATTTAGTTGAAAGTTAGGAAACCCAAGGTGAGCATCTACAGTGGACCATCCAAACATCCAAAGTGTTATTTCACATTTGATGTGCTTTCCTCCTTATCTCTCTAAGATGTCAGCAGACATGCTCTCCAAACATATATCTGACATTACAGATAGAAATGTTTATTCCATCATTGAAAATCATTATTAAATTTTTCTCATCAGTTTTCTGTCTACCAGTCTTTTAGTCAGCATGGGTAGATACTTTATTATATGATGCTGAGTAAAGAACTGCATTTTTAGGCAGACCAGAGAAGCAAATAGACTAATAGCTTAGGTCTCAAACATAGAGCTTAACCCCTTAAAACCCAGGCTTATTACATATGGCTTATTTAGTAACTACAGGGACTTGAATTCAAACTGGCTGAGATATTCTTAGGTTATAGAAGTGTGTAATAAAACTTTGGGCATATAAGGGGTCAAACCACAAACTGACCAGAGGTTTTGATGTGTCCTGGTCTGGCCTGTCAAGGAAAAAGCAGTAAATGGAGAAATCCCTGGACAGCCTGCACCTGTCACTGATGATTTCCATCTCTTGCCCACTCCATAAATACAGACAATCCCTCACTGCAGCAGCACAGCATCATTTCCTGCTGAGTTTTTATAATATGGTTATTGCTCATACAAAATATTAATCTATGTTTTTTGCCTTGCAGTTCTGGTAAGTATAAGCAATTATAATGCTGTGTGATGTTAATGAATTTCAATTTGATTGCTTTGATAACTTTTGAATTATTGTCCTGAAATGAAATGTTCAGATATAAAGAAATACATTGTCTGAAGTGATGCCATGTCAACGATTTTTATTTTGTTATTACTACTTTTAATTTTCTAATGAAGATATTTTGATACAATTTTCTCTTACATAAATCAGTTTGTTGCAGTGGAAGGTCTATGTTTTGTGGAACACTGAGAATAAATACTTTCATTGGAACAGATTTTAGAGTCAGTAAACTCTTTAATCAATTATAAATCATAATTTTTCATGTTGATTTTTCATTTCCAACTAATCCTTTATGTTTCTGTCTTTCTAAATCAGTGCCTTTCCTCCTTTCTCACATCCTCAGAACTCTCAACTGTCGGCTGAGATGGAAGTGATATAATCTCCTTTCGAAAATCCCACTGCTGCTTTTTCTACATTTATCTAGCCGCTAAAAAAGTTATCACTTTGAAAGAAGAAAATATTTTTAAAGCATGTATGTGCATTTCACTCTTTCATGAGAACCTTTTCAAAGTAGCAGGTCCTTAATTTGATTATTAGTCTCCCTACATAAAACATTATATTTATATTGTCACAATCATCTGATTCTCATCTTCACAAAGGGTTATGGCAAACTCAACACAGTTCACTACTATTATACTGGCTGGCTACATTGATATAGGACAAATAAAGTACCTATTTTTCACTCTCTTGGTACTAACATACGTATCAATTATTTTTGTAAATTCCTTACTAATTGGATTGATCTGTGTTGAAAGATCACTGCATGAACCCATGTATATTTTTCTCTGCAGTTTGTTTGTGAATGAGTTATATGGGAGTGCTGGACTTTTCCCTGCAATTTTAACCAATATGTTAGCCAAGTCCAATGAAATTGCAATTATTTATTGTTATGTGCAAATATTTTCTCTGTACACCTATGCATCAGTGGAATTTGGCAATTTAGCAATTATGTCTTATGACAGGTATATAGCTATATGTTACCCTTTCCAATACAGCAGCATAATGACTCAGAGTAGGGTGTGTATACTAATTGTGCTGGTATGGCTGATATCTTTTTTCAAAGTCGGCATCAATTTTATAGTGAATTCACACTTGAAATTATGTGGAAATGTCATAGAAAAAGTGTGGTGTGACAACTACCTACTTATTAAACTTGCATGTTCAGACACCATAGTGAGTAACATCTATGGCATCTTTGGAGCCATCTTCTCTATAGTGTTTCCTTTCCTGTTGATTTCATATTCATACATCAAGATTTGGAGAGTCTGCTTGAAATCCTCTGCAGAAACTACACAAAAAGCCATAAGCACATGCACACCACACCTTGCTTCACTGTTAAATTTCTCTCTTGGCTGTTCATTTGAGGTCTTCTCGAGTAGATTTGATAAGATATATATGCCTCCTGTGTTGCGAGTGATCATTTCAGTTTATTTTGTGATGTGCCCGCCACTTTTGAATCCTATTATGTATGGCATAAGGATGTCTAAGATAAAGAGAGCATTTATGAAACAAATTGCAGTGTAGTAGAAATATTTGAACCATTTGTCATGCAGTTTTGTATTTGTTTTATAATAAGTAATAATAAAGGATACAAAGTCTTTGCTTATTTACAAGGCAGATTTGTACATGTCTTTCTTTGTAATTCTCTACATTTTTTTATGTTTGCATTAACTACAGGGGTCTCACTGTAATCTCAGATTAAGAAAATATAAAAAGAGAATGACAAATACTTCTTGTGCTTGTTTTGAACAAATGTAAGTCTTGAACAACAATTGCTTTATTGAGTAAGCCTTTGATTAAGATTAATTCAGCTCAAATTGTGTTTAGAACAATGATAATGACAGACTAAGTATTATTTAAGATGTTATCTACCATTTCTCAGGTGCAATCTGTTACCGTAACTTGACGACTAAAGATGTCTTAATGAAAAAATGTTCAAAAACAGGAAAGAGACAATTGCTATGAGTAAATGACTTAAAAACTGATAAGGTTGAATGTGTGTATGTGTGGTTCTGTACTGGAGAAGGTGTGGGCTATGACTTTAACTTTATATTTTTTTAGATTTTACATACATTATATGTCCAAAAGTTTCTAGACACCTGCTCACCAATGTTTCTTCTAAAATCAAGGGTATTTATTCCCCTTTTGCTGCAGTAACAGCCTCTACTATTCTGGGAAGGCTTTACACTAGATCACACATGTCAGACTCCAGTCCTTGTGGGCCAAGACACTGCAGACTTCGGCACGCTGCCTCATCAAATACACCTGATTCAGCTCATCAGCTAATTAGCAAGGCCTTCACGAATTCACAGTGTTAGATGAGGGTAAATGCTAATCTTTGCAGCACTTTGGCCTGGAAGATACCCAGTATCTGTCTCCCAGACATGCCTGCCTGCACTAGAGAACATAATTCCACTGCTCCACAGCTCAAAGCTGGGGGGCTTGTGCACCTCTAGCTCATGCTTGGCATAGAGGGACTAAGGCATGGTGACATTCTGCTGGCAAAGCTTATCTTTGGAGTTAATAACTGAATACCTGTGTTAGCAATAGGTGCAAGCAACTTGCAAGCAACTTAAAGCAACTTAAAGTAGCTGAATTCACTAATTAGTAGGAGTTTCTTGATCCTGTTGGATATACAGCTCCATTTAATAATCTGATCCTTCTACAGGTCAGAGAAACACCCAAAATGTTATTAGCACTATCTAGTATTCACATTTAATGGGGAAAATACATAAATAACATAGCTGTAATTGGAAAAAAGATGTTTCGTTTAGAGATATCGGGTGATAAGCCAGGACAGAATGTCACTTTGTTTCTGACATTTGCTTTGGAAGCATGAGACAAAGTACACTGTCAAAAATTCTTCTAGAAACCTTGTTTCCAAAAAAGTTGGGATGCTGTGCAAAATGCAAATAAAAACAGACTTTAGTGATGTGCAAATCATTTCAACCTTGTTTAATTCAAAATAGTACAAAGACAAAATATCAAATGTTGAAATTGAGAAATTTTATTGTTTTTAGAAAAATATATTTCAATTTTAAATTTGATGCCAGCAACACATGTCCCAAACAACTGAGGTGACCAAATGAAAGTGAAGTGTTTTCCTTATCTAGTTTGATATAGAATTTCAGCTGCTTAAAATCTCCTTTGTTGTATTTTTCATTTTATAATGTGCTAAATGTTTTCAATGGGTGAAAGATCTGGACTGCAGGCAGGCCAGTTTATCACCCAGACTCTTTTACAATGGAGCCATGCTGTTGTAATACATGCAGAATGTGGTTTGGCATTGTCTTGCTGGAAGTGCAAGTTACCCATACCATGTGCACTAATGCACCCCTAAACTATCATGCTGGCTTTTGAACTCTGCATTGATAACAAGTCAGTTGGTCTTTAGCCCAGAGGTGTCCATGATTTCCAAAAAAAAAACTTCAAATTTTGATTTGTCTGACTCATAAAACCTTTCCACAATCATGTTTATACATGATTTCTTCTTTGCATGGTAGCGTTTAACTACCATTTGTGGATGCAGTGATGAACTGTGTTAACAGACAATGGTTTTGAAACGTGTTCCTGAGCCCATGCAGTGATTTTCACTACAGAATCGTATTTGTTTTTAGCACTTTGTCGCCTGAGGGCCTGAAGATCACAGCCAGTCAATATTGTTTTTTGGTCTTATCCCTTGCATACAGTGTTTTCTTTAGATTCTCTGAATCTTTTAATGTTATTTTGTACCATGATGATGAAATCCCCAAGTCTATATTATATTAGATTGAGACTTTATTCTTGAATTGCTACACTATTTGTCCACGCTGTCTTTCAGTGAGTGGTTTCACAGTAGCGCTTCTGAAAGACTCTAGGATGCTCTTTTTGTACCTCTGACCTGTTGCCAAATAACCTAATTAGTTGCGAAATGTTCCACCAGGTTTTTATTAACATTACACAACTTTACTAGTCTTTTTTTTTTTTCAAACATTTGTATTGTCATCTTCATACTATTTTCAATTAAATGATGGGTTTAAATGATTTGCACATTATTGCATTCTGGTTACATTTTGCACAGCATCCCAACTTTTTTGCAAACAGAGCTGTAGTAATTTGGTTTCTGATAAATTAGTAGTTAGTTACGGTCATCTATTTCCTTTTAATACTTAACACATAATACTGCAAAATATAATTAGGTCATCATTTATAAAAAGTCAAACTAAAGGAGACAGACATAAGTTATACAAAAGTCTAACTACATCATCAGGGAGAAATTAAAGAGCATAAATGTTCGTTTTTTCAATATCAGTCTTTCAAACAGGCGTTGTCACTTTCATACAACCGTGGTGTGCCAGCCATCACCAATAACTTACATTCCTAGATCTGTTACTTAATGTAATTTAAAGTTAAACCTCAACACATTAACTACCAGTAGGTATTGCCTAGTTACTGAAAATTCTAAAAGAAAAATAGAAAAATCACCACACAAAATAATCACATGCTACACTTGTAGAAGTTTGTTCACACCAACTCCAATATATTCATTTTAATATCATTGGCTGGTATTTCTCCATTTGACTCTTCTGCCTCCTTAGACAGCTACAGCATATTCAGATAGAAAGGGCAATGATGTTGTTGCTACTTATGTTAAATGTCCCTTTGGAGAGCTCATCCCTGCTAATCTTCTCCTGACTGGTCTCCTTCAGCTTTGGCTCTGCACTGATGATTCATATTCATTATCATCTGCACCTGTCACTTTATATATTATGCTGTCATTAAGAGACTCATGTACAGTGTATTGTGGAATCACTCAAATTCTTTGACAATAGTGAGAATCTTCTGGATTATGTATCACTTCTACTTTACTTTTTTTTTTTTACTGTTTGGGACCACAGTTAAAAATATAGTCAGTGGACTAACACTAGTACATTTACTTTGTGTTGATTAATGTGAATTGTCTCTAATAAATAAATAAACCTGCAAACCTGTGCACTTGAAGTTCAAGCTTAAAAAAACAATTCACTAGGATACAACTGATCTATCTGTGCTTCACCCACAAATGTGTTCTTGGGTAGCTACTCTTGCGAGGTTGGACAAGCTTTACAGAACACTGGCAAAATTCCTTCCTATGCAATAAATTAAGGTTGCATAATGTTCAGGTTCCAGACTGTTGCTATAGTTAATCAAAACTAAGCAGGTTGGAAATGACAACAAATTTACCCCCAGGCTCGCATTAGCTGAATTTGGCAGGACCTTTATAAAGCATGTCCAACATCACAATAGCTGTGATAAAAGTCACCCAAATGCCTAAATTAGAAAAGTTGTCACTACACTACTGGATCAAGTTTTTCTAGACACTGTCTAGAAAATACTGTCCTTCAATTTTTGTGAAGGAAGACAGAAAAGGCCAACAATTCTTTTCAAGGAACTACAGAGTTGAACAGCTGCATAAAAGTGGCCTGCAAGAAAGGTGTAATTACTTATGAAACATTTGCCAAAAAGAATTACAGCAACCCATGTTGGATCAAGCAATACCAACCCTGTAGTGAAGTATGCTGGTGTCAATATCATGCTGTGGGGATGCTTTTTATTAAGCATCTTGTTAAAATGGAATAGATGGAGGAAAACACAGAGAAACTGTAAGAGAAACTGATTCAGTCTCCAAAGGGCTTAAGGCTTAGAAGAAATTCACCTTTAGTGAGACAGTATCTTAAAAACAAAAAGCTAAAAGTCCTAAAATGACCCAATCTAAGTACTAATCTTAGTCCCACTGAGAATATGTGACATTATTTAACACCTCCCAGGCTGACTTATTCATAGAAGTGTGCACTAAAACGAATGAATGGTGAAAAATAACTTATTGACTAGTGTGCAAAACTGATACACACTTACCCCAAAAGACTTTGCAGAAAAAAGTATCAAATATGCCTGACGTTTGAATATTTATGCACATAGCATGTGTCAGTTTTTGATATTCATTAATATATCTAGAGACAAATAACTTATTTTGTCTTTTTAGTGTTAGGTTAGTGTTAGAATTTGTTACTTAAAAAAACTCTAAGGGGTTTGAATAATTTTGCAAGGCACTGTGTACACCTGTTTGCTTTCGGTCTTGCTTGTGTAATAAGGATTTTATCCCCATGCTCATATTGTAGGCCTGTACTCTAATCCTATCTGCCTGCACTGACTCTTAAATTAGCCCCTATAGCAGCGCTTAATACTTCTATGTTTCCATGTCCCATTTACTATAGTTACATTAATGCTTTTGTTTTATTTTCCACATTTGTTCCTAGGCAGCATGAATATGTAGGTCTAAGACAGCAATTTTAAATCTGTACTAACAAAATGTACATCTAAAATGCACAAATATCATCCCACCATTCATAGTGTTCTAACACTAATTTTGAGACATTCATTCAGAGTTATTTCAACCAAAAACAGGTCTTACTTGAGAAAATTAAGAAAATTGACATGTATGTGTAGATGACAAGAATATATTATGTATATGCAGTTTGCCTGTGTATTTCTTCACTGTATACACGTTTCAGAGAGAATCAATCTTTGAATTAGATTTCATTCTCAAATCCAGTATAAATAATTATCATATTAATTAGTTGTTAGTGTCTGTATTATCTTATTATCCTCCTACCCATCTCGATATCTTCTACTACAAGTAGCCTATCATTTCTTTTCTATCCTCCAGTCTGAATAATATCTTTTCTTCTGTGATTAAATTTAGCACTCCTTTTCAATTCAGCTCATGCTCCAAGTAAAACTCAAACATATATTATTTTTCCCAAATCACAAAAACCTCAGAATTTGATCATTAAAAACCTGAAAAAAACATTTGGTGAATCCTTTTATTTTAGCTTATTTAATATGAATCAGAAACATCAAAGATCATGACATATTTGACATACAGTTTGACGCACACAAATGGTCTGTACATGCATCACACTGAACATTAGGCCTGTTCTTACAAACATACTCAAATAACTTGAATCAAGAGCCTTATTTTGTGCTTATATCTTGAATGTAATCCATTTACATGATTATAATGTTCATTCACAAAAGTATAAATAATGCATCAGATATTATTTCAAGTTATGGGGTTCAGCCATGAGAAAAGGAGAAAAGAGATTGTACATGCCTGCTCTCTTGTAGAGGTTTTGGTAAGCATTTTTGCAGTTACTGTTGTAAATAGTGTTTTTCCAACATGTGGCAGAAATGTGCAGCAATTATAAATAATAAATTTAAAAATAATTAATATTTCCCTGTGAAAGTTCAGAGAAATGGGACCATTTCTGGCTTTACACTTACTCAACCAGCCAAACACAAACACACACACACACACACACACACACACACTTTAATTAAATATTTGTCTCACTAAGGGTAATACTGACACCCTGATATCCAAAACATGTGAACTATGTACTCCAACAATGCTTTGATCAGCACAGTAAAAAAATAAGACCTTCCTAATTCAAACAGCTAAAAGCTGATTTTTTCATGTTGTCTTCAGATTTCAAATGAAATTCAAAGGCAAAAACTTTTTTCTGCAGAATCTTTTTGAGACTTTTGCTAATGCTTTCAGTTCTCATACCATATATAAGTGGGTGCAGGAGGGGCGGAATGAGAATAAAATGAATAGACATGAAAACATTAAGCTCTTTTGGAAGGTAGTTACTAAATCGGTTATATATTACAGAGAAAAGGCTGGCTGATGAAAAATTAATAAATGTGATTAAATGGGGGGCACAGGTTTTTAGAGCTTTCTTCTTGGCATTTGCCGATGCTTTCAAACTAACAAATAATATTCTTACATATGACATAATGACCAATGACAGAGGACAAACAATGAAAATTACTACCCCAACCAAACCATACAGGTCTACAAGTGCACTCTTAAAACAGGCTAGACTGACTACTGCTAGGTTATCACAGAACAGCTTGTTTATAGTGTACCTGCACAGAGGTAAGCTTGATGTAAAATGTAGTTGTACAGCTAAAAACCACATAGGAAAAATGTACACAACACCTATCAGCAGCCCAACTTTAGCCGGTGTCATTATGTTATGATATTGCAGTGGTTTACAAATGGACACATACCTATCATATGCCATAACTGTTAATATCCCATATGCACAACCTGCATAAAAATTGATAAAGAATACTTGCAATAGACAATTATTATATGAGATGTTTTTCATATTATCAATAAGATTGCTCATGATGTTAGGCAGAACAGCAGAGCTTCCAATCAGTCCATTCACTGCCAGGTTGAATAAAAATATGTACATAGGCTTGTGTAGGCTTGTATCACAGTAGATCACCAGCATCAAAATCATATTGGCAAACATTGTTGCAAGATAGGTCACCAAAGTGACAAAGAAAACTCCATAATTGAGTGGTCCAGGTGCTCCATACGCCATAAAAATGAGAGTTACGTTAAAATTTAGCATATTTATTGTTCCTGTTCAAAAGAAAAGACAGTATACATTTTAGGTTGCCAGCACTGTCCATCTAATTATAACACAGAAAAACATAACATTTTAAAAGCTGTAGAAAATGATCAACAAATCAGTGTTAATAAACAAAAGGAGATTTGCATCACAGAGCATACCTTGAATAATTTAAGAACTTGCCATCCCAAAGCTTCAGCTTCGTGAGCTGTTGATCAGAATTCATTTATATAGCTTAAGCTGAGAGACATTTCTCCATGGAAGTCTGAGTTTTCCCTCTGGCATTAATTACAATGTTTTTACACTTGTCATTTTGGAGAAACATGGCCCAGGTTCAACAGCAATAAACACATAATGTAAACTAGGGCTGTAAAAATAAAATTTAAAAAAGTGCACATTGAAATGTAGAAAATGTCTTTTGAATGTCTACAGCTACCTTTGCATCAGCTCCTATTGTATCTCTGCTAGTTAGTCCCACATGGTTATGGAAGCATGTCAGTATTAAAATTAAAATGAAAATGTAATTTGTAAAATGGCAATGTATTTATATGTTTGCATTTAAATTTCCCTAACTGCAATGTTGAGCTCAAAATCAAAATTCAAATTCAATACTGCAATTTTAATTTGCCATTTAGTGCTCTAGTACTGACTTTTAATCTACACAAAGATTTAGTTGCATCGAGAATGGCTTTATGCAAGTTAAAATCTTTTTCCAAAACTGCATATTTATGCTTAATGCGATGTGCAATAATTGTGTCAAAATGATAATTAAAACGTAATTTATCTTATATGCATTTTCACTCTCTAATAATGCCTTTAAATTGCATTCTCAAAGAGAACACCAAGCTAGAAAGTCAATAAATGGGAAACAGAGTCTCTCCTCCTTCGCAATTACATATTCTTGTCTACTGCACTCATTCTGTGTCAAAATGCCTTTGAAATTGTATTCAAAAAGATTGCACTTTCATATTTATGGTCTTCACAACCTGTCAATCATCCCTTCAGAGTGAGGCCAACAATACACTTGGCAGAAAAGACTTTATCTAAAAATGTGGCAGCCGAAGAGTTTATAGCCACTCTTAAATTAGCAGATGAGGTGAAGAAGAGAGGTACTTGTGATGCTTAATGTCTTTATACACAATCTATGTTTTGTATAGGGACACAGTCATGCTGAAAAAGCAAAGGACGTTGCCCAGACCATTGTCACAAAGTTGTCTAAAATATAATTGTCTAAAATGTGTTTGTTTGCTGTAGCATTAAGATTACCCTTCACTGCAACTAAGAGGCCTAACACAAACCATGAAAAACAGCTCCAGACCATTATTCCTCCTCCACCAAACTTTATTACTGGAACCATGCATTCTGGTAGGTAGCATTCTCCTGGCATCTGCCAAACCCTGATTCATTCTTTAGACTGCCTGATAGTGAAGCAAAATTCATCTCTTCAGAGAACACGTTTGTTTACCACTGCTCCAGAGTTATACCACGTCAACCGATTATTGGCATCGCGCATACTGATCTTAGCCTTGTGTTCAGCTGCTCAGCCTTGGAAACCCATTTCATAAAGCTTCCATCATGCAGTTCTTGTTCTAATGTTACTTCTAGAGGCAGTTTGTAACTCTGTAGTGAGTGATGCAACAAGGTACAGGTGTTTTTATGTTTTCACATTGGAATATTGTAAAACGTAAATGTGAATTACAATTTGCAGACTTTGACTCATTATCTCTCTTTTCTTCACTCAAGTAGTAAATATTACCAAACAAAATCTTTGAGGATCGAACACACAGTCATGGCAGATTTAGCAGTCGTAGAAAACCTTAGTGCTGCACTTTCACATAAAATAATATTATGGGTGAATTTTTTCATTGAGGATTACCAATTGCTCAGGAGCTTGCTGAATGATTTCCTTTTATTGACTCATATTTCTTTCCTTTTATTGACTTATTTCATATAAAATATATTTATCTGACCATAAATTAGGATGTTATTTGCAAATGATATGCAAATAAGGGACTAGTGTTTGTTTCAGTGCAGTTCAAGCTACTTCCTCAATTGCACTCAAATGACCCCTTGTTTTGATGTCCTACAACAGTTTTATGCATCAGATGTGCAGGTGATCATGCATCATTTTATGCTCTAATCTCCACTTTTGATGAACACTTTTGATAAATAAGGGATAATATATATATAAATATAAAGAAGGGTGTTTTCATAAAACTAAACACTGCATAAAAACACAAAACCCTATCCTTACTATGAAGCTCAGTGGTGGGAGTGTAATGTTGGGGGCTGTTTTTGCTGCCTCAGGGCCTGGATCAGTGCATTCAGGTTGGATGATAAAATTTCACAGCTAAATATAAGGGCATCTGTTTGCAATCTGACAGCCATTAAACATAAGAAATGCAAACACTACAAAGAAAACACAAAAACTAGAAAATTATGGCCCCAAATTATGGCCCCTAAAATGTGCAGCTCCCGAAGCAGGACACCAAATTCAGAAACAGAGCCAAGACTGGTGCAATGTGAGGAGCTAGCACTGGAGTGACCCAAGCCAAGACCACACGTGTGGTGCTGATGTCTTCTAATGCAGGTGGGTCTGTGCAGGTCCTCTGACACAGGAGTAACTGTACTTTTAGGGCAGGGGAGCATCGTGGCTACTTGATCTTACTTTTGATCTTTGAGTAATAAGCCATCTATGGTTTTTGCCTTCCTCTGTTTTTTTTTTGTTTTTTTTTGTGAATAAATTACAGGCCCATGTTCACTTTGTCTGCCTGCTTTCTGACCTCTTCAGTCAATATTTATGACTGCCAGATAAGTATCAATAAAATACACTCAGCACTAGTTTTCCTACTCTGTCTGGGCCCTGGCACATCAAGTCTGGACTAATGGATCACACTAAAAATATAGAGATATTGTCCCATCTGATCTGATGTCTACCTTTGTAGCCTTGGCTGTGCTTAATCTTAGACATTATAACCTAAACTAACTATTGTTTGAGGTCAGTTAGTCATTCGTCTTACATGTGGATTTAAGTTTCTAAAAATAATTAAAGTATTAAAAACAGTATGATATCAATACAAATAATGACATGGTCAGCAGTGACAAATAATGACATGGTCAGAGGTGACAAATAATGACATGGTCACTATATATGTTCATAAGAAACAGCAACAAGCTGGAGGGTGCAAATCAAAACATGGTTCTGACCAACTTAAGATTTTTTTCTATTCTCCTTGTCATCTTCTATGACCCTTTGATTGTGTTGATGAGGATGCTTAGCACCCATGCTCCATTTCCACCCATGCCGTGAGCAAACAAAACCTAATTTATCATTTATTTTGATTTATTATTTAACTCAGAAGTGGCAATTAAAAAATACCAAATAAATAAATTAATTAATTAAAACCTAATTTTGAAAATGTTGTAAAATTAAATATAATGAATATCAATCTTCAGAGAAATCCTTTAATTAAACAAGCTTTTCATGAAAGAGATGCAAACAGCATCCAAATAATGAAAGGCGATTTTTTAAACAATTTTATGTTCAGGTTTCAAATGAAATTCAAAGGCAAAAACTCTTTTTTGTAGAATGTTTCTGAAACTCTTTCTAATAGTTTCAGTTCTCATCCCATATATAAGTGGGTGCAGGAGGGGCGGAATCAGAATAAAATGTACTGACATGAAAACATTAAGCTCTTTTGGAAGATAGTTATTGAGTCGATTGTATATCACAGAGAAAAGGCTGGCTGAAGAAAAATTAATAAATGTGATTAGATGGGGGGCACAGGTTTTTAGAGCTTTCCGCTTTGCATTTGCTGATGCTTTCAAACTAACAAATAATATTCTTACATATGACATAATGACCAATGACAGAGGACAAACAACAAAAATTATTACCCCAACCAAACCATACAGGTCTACAAGTGCACTCTTCAAACAGGCTAGACTGACTACTGCTAGGTTATCACAGTACAGCTTATTTACAGTGTACCTGCACAGAGGTACGCTCGAAGTAAGATGCACTTGTACAGCTAAAAAACAAATAGAAAAAATGTACACTACTGCTAGAAGCATTCTAACTTTAGTTGGTGTCATTATAATGTGATATTGCAGTGGTTTACAAATAGACACATACCTATCATATGCCATAACTGTTATTATTCCATATACACAACCTCCATAAAACATGACAAAGAAGACTTGCAGTAAACAGTTGCTATACAAAATATGTTTCATTTCATCAAGAAGATAGTTCATGATGTTAGGCAGAACAGTGGAGCTTCCAATTAGTCCACTGATCGACAGGTTGAATAAAAATATGTACATTGGCTTGTGGAGACTTGTGTCAGAGTAGATTATCAGCATTAAAATTACATTGACAAACACTGTTGCAAGATAAGTCAAAACTGTGACAAAGAAAACCCCATAACTGAGTGGCCCAGGAGATGCATAGGCCGTAAAAACTAGTGTTAAGTTAACATATATCATATTTATTATTTCTGTTTTAAAACATCATCACAAGCATTACAGAATTGCCAGCATAATTACCATTTTAAATGCTGTACACAATGATATGATGAGGTGTGAATTAACACATAATGAGAATTATATCACTCAGGCTACCTTGAATTAGTTAAGAGGACGCTGCGAGAATGCTTCAGTCGCTTCAGAGCTGTTGATGAGGAATTTGGTTATGTAGCTTGGTTTTAACCATGAGACATTTCTCCATGGAAGGCTAAGAGTTTCCCTCTGGCATTAATTAAAAATGTTTTTCACTTTTTATTTTAGTCACCAAGTTTTTGTGGTCACAGGAGTGTCTTTGTATTAGCATTAGACAAAATAGTATTTGATTAATTTCTAAACATGAGACATTTCTTAATGAAATAGTAAGTGAACCTTTTCTTGATATGAATTTAAAATGATTCTGTAAGTTATTTTAGGCCAAAAAGGTGGTTATAATACAGCCCTTCTATAAGTTTACTCAGAATAAGTAGTAATAA